AGAAGTAATGTTTTTTAAGTTTGGAAAAAGTTGTAAATATGTGTTGTGATAATAAAATAAATAAAAAATATCTTGACCCAATAAATAATTTTGCAATGGATTTTGTTGACTTACAAATTAATATAACTCCCAAAATGCATGCCCTTATCTATAATTTTTTCCGAATTTTTACAAACGCAAGAAGATGGTTTAGGCATTTGAAGCAATTCATGGGCGTGCACGCAGAAACGTTTAGTGGCTGCAACTATGCAACTATACTAGAATACAAATTGTATTCTATTATATTTACAATATATTGCATTTATAATTATAATTTTATGTTTTGTTAGGTAAAAATTTTGCTTTTAAGAATTGTTTTAATTGAAATAAATGTGATATTAGGTATGATAAATTTTCATTTATATTTAAAAAAATACTTTTTAAATACTTATTAAAAACAAGTTAGTATTTATGACCTAAATGACAAATTAATTGTCAAATAAATACATCCAAATTAAAATTTCATGGCTACCTTGAATACATTTTGAATAATAATAATATTAATAATTAATAAAAAATTGCTTAAAAACTTTTTGCCAAGAAGATTAAATATTATTTAATCTGATTAAAATGTTTTGTCAATATATAAATGAAATCAAAAGTTTTAGTGAATATTTAAAAAAGTGCATAATATTTTAATAAAAATCAACTTTTTCACCATTTTTTTTTAATTATTTTACTCTTAAATTTTTAGTTACATCATAAATAAATAGAATATCACAAAAAAAAATTTCACTGAAGGTCTGAAAGTCACTTCTTAGAACAGCACCGTGAATTACATTAGGAACATAAGATGTTGACTAATTAATTATTTTAAATATATTGTAATTTTCATTAGAAAATTTTTATTTTGACTTTGTGTTAGTTGTTTATAAACAACTTTGTTTCTAAAATTGTTTTTAAAAGTAATAAATAATCTTTCCTGAAGCATTTTAATGTTTTCCTAATTTATTAACACCCAGTATACCTTTATATCTTTAAATTTTCATATTGTGAATTTATTTTCTTAACAAACAGAACTTTTTATAAAGAATGGCTTTTTGTCGTAAAATGAATAATAAAGATTATTTTTCTATTATGTACTCGATTCGCGGACAACACTGTATAACGTATTAAAAAACTTGATTTTGACAGTAATTTATTCTTGTAATATTTTGTGAAACGCACTCTTAGTCCTATACTGCTTGTACCATGATCTGCACCCAAAAGTCCCACCTTGACATTTTAACACAAATATCGTCACCTGAGATAATTCTAGTTCTATCTGCATTTTTGTTTAAATTGAGTTTAGTCTTGTTTTAAGTCTTAAATATGAATATTGTTCTATCTATATATAATTGGGGAAGAAATTGTACAGTTTAAACCTTAAACTGTACAATTTCTACCCCAATTATACACTGCGCGTCAAAATTAAAGCACAACAAGCAAAAAAATTCTAACTCTAAAACGCCTTTACCAATCTTTATGAAGTTTTGTATAAGAATACTTAAACTTATATGTCAGTTTACGTGTTCGAGGGTTTTACGAGAAAATATTTTTAAAGCCCTTTTATTTAATATTTAAAAAAACGCTCGAAAAAAACTTTTGAAGGGTATTTTTTTTAAGTAAATAAAAAATATGCTGTTTAAGACCGTATTTTTGTTAGTATACCCTGAAAATTTTGTACAAATTATACAAACAATAACGAAGATACAGCGCTTCAAAGTCGGTAAAAATGACCCCTTTTTGATTATAATATTATAATTATATAATATTATAATATAATAATAATATTTTGCTGAAAAGTGGTCATTTTTACCGACTTTGAAGCGCTTTATCTTCGTTACTGTTCGTTTGATTTCTACAAAATTTTCAGGGTTTACTAACATAAATACGGTCTTTAACAGCATATTTTTTATTTACTATTTTTATTTAATCACTATAAAAGTTTTTTTCGAGCGTTTTTTTTAATATTAAATAAAAGGGCTTTAAGGATTTTTTTCGAAAAACCCTTGAAAACGTAAAATGAGATATAAGTTAAAGTATTTTTATCCAAAATTTTATAAAGATTGGTAAAGGGGTTTTAGAGTTAGAATTTTTTTACTTATTATGCGTTAATTTTGACGGGCAGTGTATATAGATAGAACCACAATCCACACAACAAGTCTGTTCGATCTCGTACTAAAAATACTAAAAATTACTGCAACACTGCACATCATACGATGGCGGCCATTTTTGTTGTTTACAATTGAGGAGTGATTTTTCAAAAGGTCGTATTTCCATTTGCAACAATTTTTCAAAAAAATGACTATAGCCTGTATAGGTTAGGGCAATATAAATTATTTAAAAAAAAAATTCTGATGAATATTTAATAATACTTCAGACCTGCTGTCATATTTCGCCGTTAATATATGCCTTTAAACCATAACTTTTTGTCAAAAAATTACATTCAAGTAAAAATGGAAATAAGGCCTTTTGAAAAATCACTCCTCAATTCTTGTGCTAGAGATTAATAATCGTTTTAAACGTTGTTTCTTACAGAGACACTTGCAAGCCTTAAAAGAGACCTCAAAGAGGTAAAAACAATCATTTTACTCCTCTTTTGTAAAAAATAATCCTTGTTCTATCAGGGCTGTCAAATGTCAGTTAATTTAAGGTTATTTTATAACCCACAAATTAACCTTCAAATTGACATTTGATAGAATAAGGTTTATTTATTACAAAAGAGGAGTAAAATGATTGTTCTTACCACTTTGAGGTCTCTTTTAAGGCTTGCAAGTGTCTCAGTAACAAACACAACGTTAAAAATAATTATTAATCAGTACAAACCCAAAGCACAAGAATTGTAAACAACAAAAATGGCCGCCATCGTATGATGTGCAGTGTTGCAGTGATTTTTAGTATTTTTACTACGAGATCGAACAGACCTTGTTGTGTGGATTGTGGATAGAACAATATGCATCTTTAAGTCTTAAAACAAGACTAACTTCAATTTAAAAAAATAATGCAGACCATATATATGTGTCAGTTTAACGCCAATTTTGTCTTATTTCCTGAAAATAATGCATTATATGAATTTTTTTTCCAAATTAAGACCTCTATACACAAAAATAGTTTATTATTATACGAAAGATAATGCAGGCTATTATTCGCGAGGATAAGGTTTGCGTCTCGAATCGTCAGACGAGAGACTTAAATCATTTGAGTGAATAATGCGCATAATCTCGAGTGTAATAATATACTTTATCTACTTCAATAGGTAAGTAGTTAATTAAAGGATTTTCTAAAATTATTAACTAAAATCTGACATCTGTCAAATGGTTAACCACACTTTTAAAAATTTTTAAATGTTATTATAGTCGCCTTCTCCCAATTTAAAATCCGATGGGTTTAAATCAAAATCAGTGAATATTGAAATCGGCCAAGCACTAATGCCCAACAACGTGAATAATGAGTTTATTATTCCCGTTGTTAGACATGGAATTTATAATGTTAATCATTATTAAAAAAACAATATTATGTAATAGGAGTGGATAAAAGATATGTTGTGTTATTTTTAGAAAATAAGACGAATTTAGCGCAAAACCTCAATTATTTGTATTAAAATGTCAACGTGGGACTTTTTGGTGTGTAGCATTGTACAGGGTGATCCCCTATAATGTCGCTCCCCTTTAACTTTTTTATTTTAAGTGTTCCAACAAATTTAAAAGTGTGGTTATGTAGGTACTAAATAATATTTTTTTTCTATGTATTGAATTATTTGGGACACTTAAAATAAAAAAGTTAAAGGGGGCGTTATAGGGAATCACCCTGTGCAAGAAAGTGCCAAAGTTTATGTTTGTATAGAGATTTTTTAAACTTTTTTAAATTAAACTTTAAATATACTTGATTTTTTTGCGCGCTGTATAAATTATTTATCAAACTGAAAACCACAAAATAATTTTAAAGTCAAAGATAAGACGAATGATTGTTTTAAAAGTTAACAATATTTATATAAATTGTACGAAATGTACAGTAAGTGGGGCACAGTTCGTGTTATAAATCGCGCGAAAAATGCCTTTTACAGTGCATTAACTATACGTGAGTACATTTTAGTTATTTTATAATAAATATTGATATTTATTTTTTTAATCTTGTTTAAGGTTAATTGAATTTAATAACTTTTTCTACTCCCACCTTTAAAACGCCCTTTATCGTACATGTTTCCATGACACTAAGTGACCTTTTAAATACACATTGACAAGTTGTGGCTTTACGGCGCTTTAGTCACAGGCTGAAGTTAGCAACAGGTTTTTAGTCACGGGTTGAAGTTAGTTTTAAGTTAGTTGACAGTTGTCAAATGTCATACAATCGTTAAAATAAAGTGCCTTTCTTGTAAAATAATACTAAATGTGAAAATTATTTTATTATCTCAATACAAAAATACAAAAATATTAAATAGTTTCTCAACGCCAATATTTGAAAAGTTTATATGAACATTGTACTGACCTTTTAATTTCGCCGGTAGTAAACTATAACTTAAATTCGGACACGGACTCTACTGTAAAGTCCTCATAAAACATTTCCTTTAATTTCACTGTGAAAAACTGTCAATTTTCAAGATACATTTCGATTTATAACCTTTATAATTGTGTTTATAAAATGTAAAAATGTGACATTTGACAGTTTCCCCTGTTGTTTCATAGATGGCGCTCTATACAAATTTTTGATTTAAATCATTTTAAGATAATAATAGTATTTGTCGTAGAAAAAGTATAGTATGCAACTCGTTTATAAACTTTTCTATACACTCATTAACTTAAGTACTCGCTCGCAAGCTCGCTCGTGCCTAAATTAAATTCGTGTATAAAATGGCGTTTATCAAACTTGATACATAATATACTATTATCCACCCTAAAATTGACAAAGGTGTTTAGAAATGGTATAAAAAGTAGTAAAAACGTAGGTACTAACATTTTTAATAAAAAATATTTTCTTTTCAGACAAAGTGAAAAAGAAATATGCCAACCTGGGTCACTCCATATTGATGGTGCAATTGGAGCGAAGCAGCCAGGGCTTAGGTTTGAGCCTTGCGGGACACAAGGACCGTAACTGTATGGCGGTGTTCGTGTGCGGGCTCAACCCTACGGGGGCGGCATACAAAGCTGGCGGTATCGAAATCGGGGACGAAATTTTAGAGGCAAGTAAAAAAATAAAAAAAGTTGAAAGATATTTATCTTTAAAGTCAAAATAACCTTTTCACTTGCCCACCATGTCTCACTATGATTTTCTTGTGTAGTTTGGCTCAATAAACGCAAAAATCACACTTAAATTTTTTTTCATGGAAGCGTTTTCGAGATATGAATTTTCAATTGTTTTTTTTTTTAATTTTGTGAGGTGTTTTGACAATTTAGAGTATACTTCAAGTTCTAATTGATCAATTTGACCAAAGAAGCACTTAAATCAAAGTTAATTGAGTATAGCTTTGATAGCGGCTGAGTAGTTCGATACTAGCGATTTTATTAAGTTGAAAAAGTCCTTTTTTTACAAAAATCGATGTCGAAAATTTACTTATCTTTCTGAGAAAGATAGAAATCGAAAAGATAAGTCTAGTTTGATTTATTTTACATATAGATTATACTTAAAGGAAAAAAATAAGCTGCTGTTGATAAAAATCCATGGATAAAGTTATGAAATTTTCAGTGGAAGACCAAAATTTAGTTTTTCGATCATTTTTACGTTTTTTCTTTATTTTATTGAATTTAATATTAAGCATTCATTTTTATTTTGATCATTAAATATTGAAATTAAATTATATATTGAATTTTGAACATTAAATATTGAACATTGTAGATATTGAAAGTTTTATTTTGTTGCCATAAGCATAGGGTTAAAAAAATTCTGGCTCCTTTTTTGTTTTTTATTGCTTTCGTATTCCGTTTCTTATATGAGGGACCAAATGTAATCACCCATCATGGCTGCATCCCAGAAGCCGTGATACAACCGCTCCATAGCATTCATTTGCTGGTGAAAGCGTTCTCCGTGCTCATCACTTACGTCGCCCAGATTGTCCGGGTTATTTACGCACTCGAACTCTCTACTTCTTTTATCAATTTTATACTTTTTATTAACTAAATATAACCATGATAAAAATACCTTGAAATATCAAAAAATATCAGTAAAATGTCACTTTTCGGTGTAAAAAGTACGCAAAAAACTCAAAAAATTCCAATCATACACTTTAATTAGGTTTTCAATAAAAAGACATATTAAAAAATAAAAGAAAAAAAAAACTAAAAATCATCAAAATCTGTCTTCCACTTAAAAATTCATAACTTCGCCATTTTTCCATGGATTTTTATCAACATTAGCTTGTTTTGTTTTGTAAAAATGTCAGCTTTTCGAAAAAAAATTCAATTTTTGCCAAAAAAAACATTTTTTAAAGTTATTAAAATCGCTAGCATCAAAATACTTATCCAATATTAAGAGTATGTAAAAGAAAATTTTAGATTTGAATACCTTCAATTTAAGGGCTTGTTTGACCAAATCGATGAATAAGATTTCAAGCTATACTAAAAAACGTCAAAACACCTCCGAAAATTGAAAAAAAGATAATTGAAAGTTTATATTTCAAAAACGCTTCCATAAAAAAAAATTGAGTGTGATTTTCGTGTTAAGTAATCATCAAAAAGTTTTGTGTATATATCGAAAACAATACAAATCTCTCAGGGACTCTGACATAGTCGCTATAAACGTTATTTTGATTTTAAAACGACTCTATTAAAGTTAAAACTAAGTAGGTATATTACAAAGTAAATATAATTCTTTTTCAGAAAACTTTGTTTCTTACTTTTATTAAACATTTTCTGTTTACACAGCTGAAAGGTTCTTCGATTGACTTAAACAAGAGGAGATCCCTCAATAATTTAATTGTCCTCGCACGGGTAGGAAACGCAGACTTTTAGCTGCTCTCTCCTTGTTTAGATGAAGGCGGTCTTTTTTTACTCAGGCAGGGCAAAGTCGAGTTGATTTTCTTATAATCAAAGTTCGCGTTCTTATTTCGGTCTCTCTGCATTATTTCACTTGATTTTTGCTGCCCCATTATCTTGCTCGTTTATCGCGTGGCAATATCGACATGTGTTTATTTGTTGTTTTTTGTGTTTGATTGCTACAAGTGGTAATACGAGAATTTTGGGTGAAATATAAGTTTCCTAATGAGGTTAAGGCTTTTTAAATTTAAAACATTCTCACGCAAAAATTATAACTAATAAGAAGGTTTGCAAATTCATTTTTAAATTTATAATTTACACAAGCACTTTTTATGAACTAAAGAAAATATAAACAGGTTTGCATCATTCTGAATATGTTTACTAGGGCCAGTTTATTTGGCAGATATTTTATATAGAGATTATTGTCAAAACTATTTTATTTACCAGATAAAATAACTCAAACTTAACTGGACATTGGTCCAAAACTTCTTATAAATTTAATATATTTGAAAAAAATTATCCAAAATATTGATTATAACCTAAATTTAATAAAAAAATTAGCTAAAAGAAATTTATAAAGCAGCCACTCCATGATAGGGCATTATTTTTTCAACACTTATTTTCACCAATCTAAAGATACTAACAAGTTTTGACTGATTTTTTAACGAAAATAGCTAATCCAACAAAAAATGTCCGATTAAAATAAAATGTAGTACGATAAAGGACGGGACACAAAAAATTGATTTTATCTACTCCCCCCTTTAAAACGTACATGTTTCCATGACACTAAGTGACCTTTTAAATACCCATTGACAAGTTGTGGCGTTTTAGTCACGGGCTGAAGTTAGCAACAGGTTTTTAGTCACGGGCTGAAGTTAGTTTTAAGTTAGTTGACAGTTGTCAAATGTCATACAATCTTTAAAATAAATTGCCTTTCTTGTAAAATAATACTAAGTGTGAAAATTATTTAATTATCTCAATAAAAAAATACAAAAGTATTAAATAGTTTCTCAACGCCAATATTTGAAAAGTTTATATGAACATTGTACTGACCTTTTAAGTCCCCACACCTAGAAAGTGAGCGAGGTGCAGATTTGTTTTTTGCGAATAACTCGGTATATATTACATACATATACCATATTATATTAGGGTGCTTTTTAAAACGACTATTTTTTTAAACCGCCTAAAAAATCCTGTTAGTTTCAGCTTTTAATATTAATATTAGGTTTGTTCAAAATTACATTTTACCAACAACTAAACGTTCTACAAAATTGCTGACTGCAGCGTAACTGTAATTTTTTAATACAATTATTGTTTCTATATTTCATAAATCACTACACTTATAGAAAAAAATGTATAGATAATTACTTTTTCTACAAAATAAATTCTTTGAAATGAATCTCTAATGTTAAAATACCCACTTCATAAACTGTTTGTTTTTTTGTTTGAAAAACATTTAAATATTATTTTCGAATATTTAATATTTTGTAATAACTTTTTATAGTCAATTAGGTTTATGTGCCATTTGTTAACTTCCCAATGGAAAAAATACTTATACTATTAAACTACACACAACACCAAAAGTTTTGGACCCCCCCGGATTTATTATAAATAAATTATATTTGAAAAAAATAAAATATATGTTTTGAAGTGTATTTTGTGTAGATTTAAATTTAGTTTAGATAATTATTATAAATGTACAAGGGTACTTAAAAATAAACAAAATGTTAAAAATGGTTTATTTCAAAAATAAAATGGATTAAGAAATTAATCGTCATTAAGAATAAACATAAAAATTACTGCTAACTAATAGTCTGTGGGTCCTCCTCTACTTCTTACTAGTGCGTCAACACGCCTGGGCATAGAAATTATCAAGTTATTGATAACCTCTTGAGGTATGCGATTCCACTCTTCTACCGCGGCTGCAGCCAATTCTTCCGCAGTTCCTGGTGGGTTGTTTCGATTGTGAATGGCCCTGGAAACATAATCCCATAAGTGCTCGATAGGATTCATGTCTGGCGAATTGGCTGGCCATTCTAATCTGGTAATTTCTTCAGCTTGAAGTGCCTCCTGAACCCTTCTGGCTCGGTGTGGCCTGGCGTTATCATCCATAAAGATGAAGTTCAACCCTATTTGGTTTTGTAACTGATAAACAATTGGTCTAATAATGTTTTCGATATAAATTTGACTCGTCAAATTTTGCTGTATGCGTATTAATGGAGTACGACGGTTGTACATTATACCCCCCCAAAACATTATTGTACCCCCTTGGTAGGGAGGAACTTCACGGGGAAAGTTAAGTCGCTGCTGACGTCCTGGTTCCCTCCAAACCCTTTGGCGATTGTCATCACTGACCAGGCCAAATCTTGTTTCGTCAGTAAAGAGGACCCATCTCCATTGATCCAAAAGCCAATCCATATGGTTTCTCGCCCACTGGAGGCGGGCAACACGGTGTCGAGGCTATAGAAGAGGTACTCTCAAACATCTCCTGGCTCGTAAATTTGCACTATGCAGTCTTCGGCGAATTGTAGAGGTCGAAATTAGACGATGAAACGTACCTTGAAAATGTGCTCTGATGGCTGGGGCCGTGGCATTTCGGTTTCGGCGAGTAAATTGAATCAGATATCTATCCTCCCTTTCATTAGACACGCGAGGACGCCCACTACGGGGCATTCCTTCCACCGTTCCAGTTTCTTCGTATCTATGGATGATTCGCACAACAGATGATCTTGGAATATTTAAACTAGCCGATATATGGTGATTGGAAAATCCAGCTTCATAAAGAGCAATTAATCTTGCTCTGTTAAACGCAGAAATTTCACGTCCTGGCATTTTAAAGCAAGAAAAACACGAAATGAGGCTTCTTAAACATGCATGCAAACTGAGTCGAACTGACAAATTTCTTTTAAACATCGATAAAAACCTAACACTTTTTTATGTTTGAATGTTTATGGTCGTTTTTATTCTGCAAATAAATAAACATTTGTATGCGATACGCAAAAAGAATAAACTACAATTTAAAAAATTTTTATATGGGGGTCCAAGACTTTTGGTGTTGTGTGTATTAAACTGCTGAAAAACATGAAAAGGAACAATTTACCCCAGCGCATTCGCCATTGGTATATTTGCAAAAATGGCGAATGCGCCGGGCTAATAAATAATGTTTTTCCACTCCTATTGCATATTATTATTCAATAATAATATTGCATAT